TGGTTTCATATGAGAAGAGGACAAGATCATCGGCCACTAGGCTAATTTATACAGTGTAAAACGTCATAGGCTTGTGCTAATAACGTTAGCATGTTGTATTTGTTTGGAAAACGTGTTGAGTGTAAAACAGTTGTTTTGTCTGTGAACCTTGTGAGATGTGAGTTTAAAGATGTTGTTTATTGCTTCTGCACATAACTGTTTTGTCATAAGAGGAACTATGTGGTAATTATTTTTTTCGTAAGAAATCAAATGATTTTCAGATAACAGCATACTCGTGTAAAAGAAGCTAAAATAAGTGGTGTACAAAGAGGAGCATTTCATTCTAGTAAAATATCAGAATGCAACTGTGGCAACGAGTGTTAATGATAATGACCACAGTGCCCACAGAGGTTCATTAATGAGTAACTAAGGTCTTAATTCATCCGCTGGGATCCTGCAGAACAGATCGTACGGCAACACATTGCCCCACAATATGAGATTTAACTACCTCGTCTGCATCTGTGCATCATCTAGTGTTTAGAATTAAATCACAGCTTTTTCTGGATTACGCTTGATGCTTGGTGATAGTCTGGTGACCTGTCCAGGGTGCACCCACCTCTTGTCCAGTGGTTAAGGAAAATAAATAAAGAATACTACATCCTGCAAATTCACACCTGAAAGGTTCTGGTACTTCAAGTCCTTTTTGTCTTTTCCCTCCAGGTTTCACATGTCACATACTTTGGTTCACCTTTGATAAGAATTTGTTTAAGTTGGTGCTGTACAGTATAAACATGTTTGAGCTGTTGGTGCAGGAATAATAAAGTAACACCAACAGAGTACATACAACTTTAAGCAGACAACAGGCAAATCAAAACATCCTGTTAGAAGTGACTCTCGCAAACAGTTCGGGTCATAAGACACATCATCACAAACAATTAGTCTTGACGTGACACAGTTGTTTCAGGGATTTTAAGTTGAAGTGACAGCTATAGGCGACCTGGAATAACCATATGCAGGTTGTTGAAATACTTCATCTCTGAGGGCGTTTACAGGACTGTGCAAAAACAGCCAGTCGCACTCTAGAAAGTTTGAAAGGACGACTTGAAATAAGACCAAGCTCAAGTGGCGTACACAAACTTTAAGGTCACTTTAAGAATATTTTCCAGGAAAGGTCTTCAGTGGGATGCCACACACAAAGATGGTTTGGTTCGGCTTTGGGTTGTTGGACGGTGAAACTGCAGCTCGAGACCAATCCACTGGGGAGCAGTGCAAAAATGAAATTTACAGTGAAGTATTTGTTTATGGTGTCATCCAAACATGACAGTGTGACGCATCCTATCCTTTAAACAGAATTCAGATAGAGTTTGTAAATATGTTAAGTAGCTTGCATTTTTGAAATGCACCACAATAAAAGGATCAGGTCCAGGATCAGCCCCTTAGTGAGGACATGTTTGTAAAGTTTGAGCTTTTCGTGCCATTGCAGAACAAATGCAAAAGAAGGGTGTCGGCCTAAAACGTATGTGGATCAGAGAGGCTCTTACGATACTCCACAACCATTACGAAATTTGCTGATTAAGCTTTAAGCAACTTGTTTCTGAAGGGAAATGAACTCTACTTCCCTGTCTGTGCACGTCTCCTGTTTCAACATGACAAACGAGCTCATTCAGAAAAAAAGAGCTCTGCTGGGGGAACTGTTTGGAAATGCAATCATCTAAGTGACTTGTCCCTCTTTAATAAATTCATTCTCTCCATCAGTGGCAGAAGGACGAGGAGAAGGCAGATAGATTAATAGATTTGTCCCCTTTGTCGCCTTGTACTGTTTTTACATGCTGTATGTTTGCTGCAGTCGACCTTGAAATGATGCTTTAGCCATATTTGAACCTATGTTTATTCAGTTCACTAACAGTGAGCACCACATCAGTTGTATCAAAGTTCAGGGTATTTCTATCTGCAGAAATTCTGCAGAACAACGAGATTTGTGCTGTCATGTCAGTGTGTGGTCGAGGTTAATGGCTGCCAATTTTCTGGCCAAGTATTTATTGATACTGTACAACAACTAATAGATAATTAGTCATTTTGTTTTCCTCTCTTTCCCAGCAGTGGCTAATTCCTGTGAACAAGTTCACTTCAGTTCAAACTTGTAAACACGATTGTTATTTTTATCTCCCACACGAGCACACACTCTAAACTTGTATGAGATACCAGATTAAAACCACATGAACATGTTGTTTGCTATAACTTAATCCCTCTGTTGAGAAAGCTCCACACAGCAGTGTCATAGCTCACGCTTTGATCCTCCAGACTTTGGATTTGACAACTACAGGAGGTGAAGTCTGTTCAAATCAATCATTCACGCTCAATAAGTTAGTAATTAAAATATAAAAGGGAGCAGCTCAAGAACAACATGAGAACAGACTGTTCTCCTCTCGTAACATCTTTGGACAAGTCTGTTAATAAGAAATGATTCGACTATGAGCTGCAGAGTCTTTGTGAGTGTGAGTGACTCCTGCAGAAATTAATTTTCACATGACAAACTGAGAAAGTAGATATGAAGGAATGCATGCGGTCATGATTCAGTGACCACAACGCTGAAAACAAAAGCAAGGATACTTGTATGCAGCAATATTTAATCTAGTTTGAAAACACAGACACAAGGAAAACAGTTTCCTCCAGACCTCAGTTTTGTAGTCAAATTGGGATCCAAAACACAATATTAATGTATTTTTTGCTGGCTGCCCTGCACGTCTTACAGTAACATGGTTACATGGGTATTTAAATGATCTAAAACAGTGGTTCCAAACTGGTCCAGCTACTGGGTCCAGATTTCTTCTCAGTCATTTGTTCATGGTCCACACAGTTCAATGCATTCAGTGTCATTGGCCATGTCATTGAGCTAGTTTTCTGTCTCAGCCAAGTAGCTGTCTGTTAGTTGCTCACTCTACATCAGAAACAGCACTTCAAAATAAATTTCTGTGCTGGAATTCACTGTACTTCAAAATAAAGTGTGTTTTTTGCAAAGTTGACACGTTTGCGAGTCACTTGCGGTCCATTCAGAATGGACCCACGACCCACTTTTGGACCGTGACCCATCCGTTGGGAACCACTGACCTGAAACACCACACACACATCCAGTTATTCTTTGAGATACTACTCATTAACCTGATTAAGGTGGTGCAATTTGTGCTTGGGGATGTTTACAGGAGGCCAACGCTAGTAACAAGACATTCAAGCTCAGTGGCCTTGTGGTAGAGTGTCCGCCCTGAGACTGGGAGGTCGTGGGTTCCATCCCCGGCCGGGTCATACCAAAGACTATAAAAATGGGACCCATTGCCTCCCTGCTTGGCACTCAGCATCAGGGGTTGGAATTGGGGGGTTAGATCACCACATGATTCCCGAGTGCGGCACCGCTGCTGCTCACCGCTCCCTCAGGGGATGGGTCAAATGCGGAGAACAAATTTCACACACTCAGGTGTGTGACAATCAGTGGAACTTTACCTTTACCTTAACATTACCCCAGCAGGAGCTGTTGCTCAGCTGCTGTGGGTCGGTACAATCAGTGTCAAACATTTCATTACTTTAAAATGCATTAAAAAGTGGAAAACTAGAATATATTATGAGCGTAATGTTGGCTGTCACTGTTGATTGTTATTTTTTTGTAGTGTTAGAATGGGGGTATGTCATAACAAATGTCATAATGCGTGCATTTTTCCTGTGTGGCCCTAACCTCCTGAGACCCTGTGTCCTCATACGGACATTACAGTTTGGGTTTACTTGACCTTATACTTCATTCTGCTTAACTTAGACCTGTTGTCCTCGTTTGTGGACGTTTTTTTTGTGCCATCGAGTGTCAGTAAGACCACAATACACTAATTCATGACGAAAAAGATGGCAGCCATCTCTGCCAAGTCAGTCTGCAGCCGACACGAAAGTAGACAAGGTACAAAAACTGATCAGATTTAATGGTTGAAACTTGTTTATTTATGATTGAGAATGTTTGTAGTTTGATATGCCATACAAACTTTACCAATTTTAGCAACAGCAACAAACACTGAAATCACTGAAGGACACTGGGACTTTATTATTGTCTCGTTAGAGGACATTGGGACTTTATTATTGCTGACAATGTTTAGTTTTTATACTTATCAGGTCCTACTGATCCCAAATAGCTAGGAGAAATTAAAAAAAAGCATACCAAATAAAAGTCTCAGGTCTCAGGGGGCTAAAATGGCACACATTCATCAAACATTTGAGGTCCTCTGATCTGATTTTTGTTTCAAAATGCGTCACAATTTAGGTTAAAATCTTAAAAAGATTAACATTACGTCCCTGAGCAAACAAATTTCCCAAATTTGTGTCTGTGTTGTGGCTTCATCTTATCAGATACACTCTCTTATGGAAACCGGACACAGGAAACAGCAATGTTCACAAATCAAATAAGAGTGCAATAAAAGACTCAAATCCCAGTGGCATGAGACACAGTGACACACGAACACCAGCTCTGCAGAGCTTGTAATCTGTGACGTTTACCTAAAGTTGCAAATGTTTAATGTCAATTGGCAGCAAACCCATGGCAGCTAAACTCAGTATTAATCAAATGGCCACTGACAAAACTATTCCAGTTTTTAGCCAGGGTAACAAAGCAGTGACTTCCAAAATTGACCTGCCAGCATCATAAAAACAAGTATAGCCTAGTTCCAATGACTAAGGTATGAACATGGTATTTAAAACAAGGTGTCAAAGCAGGTTAAAAATAACTGCAAATCTCACAGACATTTCCAGGAGCCCACAAAGTCTTGAGAGGTGATATTTAAAAGCTCGTACACAAGTTATTATTTGTGCGCATGAGATAATTCACTCATTTCTGTCTTGTGCGCACAGGATTAATACTAATGATAATAATAATCACGTTTCGGGACTTGTATCTTTCCCTTCCCCTGGTTGTGTTGGGGCAAGACTCATTGCGCTTGCGTCATTGCGCCTAGGTCTGGCGCGCGCCGTTGTGCAGTGCCGCAGTAGCAATAGTGTGTGAAGTGCGCGTGCAGCATCAACAGGAGACGCTTCACGGCAGGTAGGACCGGAGACAGAGAGAAACAGCGACTTTAAACCTGAGTTTTACTCGGTGTTTGAGCTTCAACTGAGCTCCGAGTGATTCATTCACACTTCTTCTCCACAGCTTGTTTTTCCCTCCACGCTGAACTGGTGTTTGTCGTTACGCACGAGAGGAAAGGAGCAGGACGAGTCTTACACCATGTCGCCAACTTGTTGATGTTGCTGCCACTTATTTTTTTCTGCCGTCATTCTGGGTAAGTTGTATTTTTGCCTCTTTTTCTCATTAAAGGAATGAAACACAGCCTCTGTAGCGAAGGTATTTGACTCAAATGATAATATTCCCACTGGGGCATAGCGTGGCCGTGTTGCTAAATACCAGTCTTATCACACCAGCTCTGTGGCATTTTAGCCCCTGTGGTATCATTGTGATATTCTTAGTACAGTTTTATAGTGTTGTTGTGACATGTGAATCCGTCCTTCATGTGTTAGAGTGTTACTACAGGCAGGAAATGCTTCTGAAAGCAGATAGACACAACAGAAAGTGGTCGCTGGTGCTAAAATAAGTCATAAACACACCAAATCGGCAAATGTCTCTGTTATGCTGGAGGGGGATTTGTGTGTGGTACCTTACTTTTGATAAGAGCTCGCCTGCCAGTGATAACATCAGGTTTGTTTCATTCCTCCCCTGTTTTTAATCCACACAGAGCTCATTAAACTTGTTATCTCTGAATCTGGGAATGAAATAAACAGAACCACAGTGCCCTCAGGCAAGGCACTAACCTGATGCAAGCTGCACAGTGGCCTGCTCCAGAGCAATCTGGTTTTTCCTCCATGCACATACCAGGTGTGAATATTTGTGACATCATCTATGTGACGCATGGAGAACATGTCATGTAAGGTTTTGCAGAATCATCACACAGAAAGTGAAGCCAAGAGATAAGGCGAACTGTTGAGTCTGAAGTCTGAAACCACAAAAATGAGGCCGTAAAATCACCCTGGGAAACTTGTACTGTTCCCAAGAATTTGATGTATGTTTCTCCAGCTTGAGAGAATGTTTTACTTGTTTACATCACAGCTAGAAAATTCAAATAATGTCCTGTTTGCAGAAGTTTGTTCGTTCACAAATATTGACTCGATAAATATTTGTTGTACTTTTCATGTTACATTAAATTGGGCGATTACATAGACGTATTTTACAAGAGAATCTGATTAGGAGAATTAAGAACAACAGGCCAGACATCATGTTCTGTGCTCAGTTTGTTCCTGCTCATGGATGCTGCTATGAATCTTGCAAGCTTGATAAATGTCCTTTTTAAAAATAGAACCTTTCCATCATGTTTGACAACCAGCAGTGAGTCCAGAGAGCAACCTTCTGTGTGAGAATACCCAGTGACCATTGATATCTTAATGCAATTTAATGCAATAATCACTTATAACTAGAGGTGTGTGTCTTACTTTGCTGTGCTCAGGATGTTCATGGGCATCAGAGGTGTGTAGCGCCCAGCCATTAACAGCATGCAGGGTGTGAGGGCGGGTCTCTCTAAAAACATAGCGACCAGGTGCCAGATTATAAGCGTGCATCCCAGAGGAGCCGTTGAGCCAACTTTAAATGTTGTGTTTACAAACTGCAACCATCCTGCTTGTTCTGCCTTTGAGTTCATACTTTTCCTGAGAACATACAGAGACAGGAAAAGCATCCTCGTGGGGTGTCATCAGAACCAGCTGTGTGGGTGACAAAAATAAAGCTTCCGGCCAAATGCTCCCACTCGAGCATACACATGAGATTTTCTCAATTACTTTAATAGTTGTGGAGTCTAAAAAATGTGAGACGGTGCTTAAAAATAGCAGTCCCAGTTTTCCAAGGAAAAAGTGACGTCTTCACATTAGTGATGGGTATACCGATTCTTTTCATAGTATTGGTTTCGTCTAGTTGTTACAAGTAAATGTATCAAACCTCCTGATTTTTTGCAAAATATGGTGTCAGCCTCTCAGTAACACGCCATTATAGTACATGCACGTTTGACAGCCAGGTCTGCTGCACACCCCACAAAAACTCTCTGTAATGCTTTATACTGAACACCAAATTGCTCCCAATGGCTGTTCCATCAGTGTGTGAATGGTTACTGAGTAGCAGGTGGCACCTCGTAAGGTAGCCTCGGCCACCAGTGTGTGAATGTGTGTGTGAATGGGTGAATGTGACATGTCGTGTTAAAGCACTTTGAGTGGTCAGAAGACTAGAAAGGTGCTATACAAGTTATACACAAGAAATACCTGTGCCTTAAGACAACCTGTGCACATATATTTACAGATAACACACGCTGTTGATAGATGACATCATTAAACCAGACATGCCTGCATGAGAAGCTTTACACTACCCTTATTGAAGACCAGTGCATTAAAGAAAACTGTGATGTACAGAGCCATGTCGATTTGGAATGAACTACCACTAAACTTAACCCAGGTTACTAGTAGGATTACTTTTAAAAAGAAACTAAAAACAGCAATTATCAAAAAATAAATCAGTTTTACCAACATAGGATGTAATGTTTGTGAAGGTTATGTGTATTTGTGGCGTTCACTTTGGTGATGCCTCGGTGTACAACCATGTTTTGTGCAGTCACATATAGATCATGAGCCTATAGATTATGGGCTCTGTTGATTTGCTGTTGTGATTTACTGATGTGACAAAATTGTAAATGTGAGATAACTACTGCTGTCTCTTGTTGGGGTTTTATTTAAATTTGTTGATGTTATAAATTGTCTATGATGTCATGATTTTTATATATTGTCTTGTTTTTGCATTTTGTGTGAACCCTAGGAAGAGCAGTCGTTGCTGTGGTAACGACTAATGGGGATCCTGAATAAAGAATAAAGAATTATTTGAGGGGCAAGTTGCAGACGTCACAGTTGCCTCCACAGCCTTGTGCCGCATTCATGCTGTGTTGGAATAATTTGAAAAATGAGGGCTTTTCTGGTCCGTCTCCTTTGCTCTTTGTTATCAACATATTGTTTAAAGACTTTGAGCAACTAAAATACAACATATCTTCTTTGTAGCATCAACATTGTTTCCGCATTACAACTTAAAGCTCATGAGCACATCAAAGTCGGAAGAAAGCATGTGAATGCACCATGGCCTTGGCTGGCGAAGATCTTGACTTGAGTCCAATTTAATCACTTTTCGTTCACTCACTGTAGCAGGCAGCGTGAGCAGTATCCTACAGTAACTGTGGGTTGGAGAGTGGTAAAATTTGTGGGATTCATGAGCACTCAGATGTTTGACAGGCTGACCTGGTACATAGTGTAAACTTAAAGGAGTTGCTCATAAAGATTTGTTTGTTAATTTACGACCATCACTGCTTCAGACGTCAGGATTTGTTCGAAACCAGCTGTTTGAAACCTGTAAATTAACAGTTTAATGTCACATATTAAGACAAAGAAAAATAGCAAATCCTCAAATTTATTAAGTTGAAAAGAAGGAAAGGAAGTAGTGCAGCTGAAAAATGTGTTTCCAGTTAATTTCCTGTCATTTTCATATGTGTTTCAGTCCTACGTGCATATAATTGCTTCCCTTTAATTATTTCATCACCTCTGCACTTGATGACTCCAATGGAAAAACAGTAATGTGTGACCTTTTTCATGAGCTCATATTACACAACTTTTGTCACACTGTTTTCTCCGTGATTTCTGTATCAGCGAGGGAATTTTCCCTAACTCCAGTGAAAACAAGTTGTCACATCACAGATGTTATACCCAGTAATTGTTTGAAGAGGCTGTCATGTAAGAAAGACCCAGCACACTGGCCACTGGACTTTGTTCTGGTGACTGTATTTTTAGTGAAGATTCCTTTCTGCCAGGCAGTGGTCAGGCTTCTGTAGTTGTTTTGTCTGTGCGGCTGGGAACAGACTAATGTAACACTGGTTTAGAGACACAGAGAAAGAGGCAGAGACTTGATAGAGGAGTAGAGAGAGAAACACGGCCAAAATTGTTTACAGGACAAAGTTAAGTGCACAGTGTTGTCTTCCTCAGTGAATAATGAAAAGCTCAGGGGCAGCCATCCCAAAGAGGCCAGCCAAATGTCTCCTTAAAATTGGTAATTTAATGCAAGTGACCCAGTATAAATCTGACTCCTCTGGTCTGAGTAGGATTTAGAGGAATCACTCCAGTCATTTGTCTGAATTGGGAGCTTTAGAGTCCAGAGCTAATGTTGAATACGATACTGTATAACTCTTCAGGACTGTCAGAGACACACTGGGGAATCAGTCAGGAGAGATGTTTTTTTTTTGTCCCGTCTTTATGTTTTACCGACTCTGCTTTCACCAGAGCTGCATTCACATCCCCTCTGCACCACAAACCCATGACAACAGCCACCACAGAGTGCAGGGCTAACTGCTACTTGCCACTCTGTTAAGCTTTTGGTAAGCTTAGAGGTGTGCATCAAGCTCTTACAGGGACTTGCAGCAGCTTGTGTTTTGAAAAACATGTTTTTCTACCGACGTTAAAAGGAATCAATAACAAAATCATTCAGGAGCAAAAACAAGTGCCGAGACAGCAACAGAAGATGAAAATATTTGTGTCCCTGGGATATTTGTGCATGATCAGTACGCTTTAATTAGTCTAATGATAGAGAGGTGTAAATGACAGAGATAGGAGAAGAGGAAGTGTTTGTGTGGCTCCTGTGGTCTCTGTGTCCATGTCTGTCTCTGTGTGTGTTGTGTGTATGAACTAAACAGATATTTCACGTTGCTGCCAGTATCTCTTACCAGTGCTGTTTTTCAGACCTATAAGCATCTCTTAATTTGTTCACTGATTTAAGGTCTGGTGTTGCACTCATGGATGGCAAATGGAAATTTTTGGGTAGGATTTAGATTACGGAAGTCGTCTTGCACAGCTAGTTTGCTGAGTCTGTGAAAAAAAAAAGCCACAAAAAGTTCCGACAATTGACACTGTAACAACTGTACAGGTTGTTGGAAATCTAACTCTTAAGACGCTGACCATGTAACTTTAGTGTCCCGTTTGAGTCTACCCTCCTCTTATTTCCGGTCAGCTAAAGGCATTAAACATAAGCCATGTCCTTTCATGCAGTCATCCTGCCACTGAGTTCATGTTAGCCCATTTCTTTTTTGAGTTGTGGCTTAAGAAGGTACAGAAAAGCTGCCTCACAACTTGTACAGCTGCCTTGATCCCAACTGTGCTTATCACCAGTTTATCAATTCATGAGTGTAGCTGGGATGCTAGGTAGCTATGCAGGAAGATT